AGGGCAACGCCGTCATCTCGGACATCAAGAACAACACTTCGGTCGATGTCTCGGTCAACTTTGGTTCGCACGTTGCGACCGACGGTGACATCTTTTGCGCCCGCGAGCAGAAGGACACAAGCTATATCTACATGAAGTGCCTTCCGTACACGGACAAGTTTGGTCAGCAGAAGTGGAAGCACCAGGAGGCGGCCAAGCACTACTTGGCCTTCCACGCCGGTGCGTCGACGGTGTATGCTGTCGACAAGACCAACAACCTCCATGTCGGCGCGACGGCCGAGATCGCGTCCGGCTCCGTCAAGTGGACCGATGTCAAGAGCCCTGGCTTCTCGCACATTGCGTTCGACGGGACGCGCGTCTGTGGTATCACGGCCTTGTTCAAGGAGATCCAGTGCAGCATCAGTCCGCTCTCGAAAAAGCGCATTACGTGGTCCGAGCCGCTTGCTGGTCGTACGTGGACCAGCATTGCGCTCAGCAACAACCAGGTTTATGCCATTGACGCAGCCGGCGTCGTTCAAACGCGCTCGGCCCCAAGCGTGGTCTAGAAGGCATTGTAGTATTGCAACGGACTGGTACCGGTATCCCATAAATAATACATAACCATGGGAACTTTTTGCGATCTTAAAATGGTTATGGAAGTCAAAACAAAGTTGGCCGCGATGATTGGTGAGCTTGCTCTAAAACCTCTTCGAATTCGCGGCAGGATACGATGCACCCACGATAGAGGTTCACACTCTCGTCCAAGGAAACCGCGTTCGTCATGCGAGATAACCGCAGAACCAACGATGACCGCCTGCGGTGCGGTCCAAAGCGTGAGCAAATCGCCAAACGTCTGTGTTGCATTTACCAGCATGTGTTGACATCCCTCGCCCTATTTAAACTCTGCTCGACCATAAACGTTTTTGGAGCGGCGAAAGCGGGGCAGCGTGGCTGTGGGGTGTTGCAAAGTGGCCGCCCTTGGGAAGTCATTGGTAATGCATGTACAGCTGTAAGGTCCTAGTACAATGTGGCGACTAGAGACGGCTCCAGCCGCGACTTTAAGCGAACCAATCAATGCAGGCAATAGCGGGACTATCGACCGGCTAAAGTGTTGAATAGAATTCGGCGCGATCGGAGGTTTGCTTTCGGGACTCTGTCTGCCGATGTGTTGCAACCATCGTATTGAGGTGCTAAGAAATGCTCTGCGACGCCAGACTGATCGCAGGATTCCTGAGCGTCGAAAAGACTGTGCCGCAGTAATCGTACCTGTAGTAACCGTGACCTATGTTGACCTCGCCGCTTGTTCTGGCGTCTGGTCTACAAATCTTGCGCGAGCGCTGATCGGCATTCCACCGAGTCCAATGCTTGAGGTCCTGTCTGCAGGTGATCGACAGGTGATCACTTGCATGCCGTACGCTACCTCTGCCCGCGAGTACCATGTATGCCCCAAGAATGATCAGGGGACTCAAATCAGGCACGATCCCAGCCTTACATATCAACAGCGGCGCAAGGACCAATGTAGTATACGGTGCTGGAGCAATCACTGCGTTATTTTGAGACGCAACAGATGTTGCCGTCCGATCACTGCGCATAAACGTATGGGCTCTGCCTTGCAGAATCTGTGCGGAGTCTGCAACGCTATAAAACTAGGAGGAGTTCCTGCTGCACTGATCGTGAGCTGCAACTCGTCGTGCCGGCCAACGCCCTTCAACTACTAGTATGGTATCTGATCCCTCCAAGCGACACGCGCCACGCTCCGGCACACATGCACTGCAGTGTTATGGCAGCACCATGATACCGGTACCGTGGACTTGTGCTGCAGTTACAAACTGTGTGGGCTTCTGCAACCACGCGCTTGCTGGTATACATTGCAAATGGGTGTAAACTAGTCCTACTATTATAATAGCAAAAAGTACTAGGTCGAGCAGAGTGTACCGTGTACTACCTTTGTATGCAAATATTCCGTGGTCCCGTCGCACGCTCCTACTAGTATGATTGCTGGTATGTAGACGAGACACCGAATCTACTGCGTATGTGCGTTATCGCCAGCTGCAACGCTGTGTGCGGCTGCGATTCAACGCTTTGGTCGGGGTGTCCTACTCCCGCACGACCACGTGCCAGAGGACGACCACGGTTGCTATCATCGCGCAGAAGAGCGCCGAAATAATGGTGCGAACCAGCTTGGCGGTCGCGGCCTTCTTCTCACTTTTCAATTTGCAGCCTCATGGCCCTCCGCCTTCCTCTCGCCGCGCTCGCTACGGCGGCCGTCGCGCACGCCGCTGACGCCCCGCTGCCCACGTGGGTCGAAGTCGCTCGTGGCTACAAACAAGTCGCGGCCGATAACAACGTCGTATGCCTCCTCGATGCTACCAAGCAAGTGTCGTGCGCTGCCCCGGCGACGGCCATCGCCCAGTGGCCCAAGCGCGATGGCGAGTGGTCGGCGATCGCAGTTGGTGGCAGCTCGGTTGTCGAGTACAGCTACACGAACGGCACGGCCGTCGTCTCGGACATTGTCACTGGCGCGTCGGTCGA